ATTAAATCCTAGTAACTTTGCATAGAGAATGAAATCCAAGTAACTTTGCATACAGAACTAAATCCAAGTAACTGTGCATACAGAATGAAATCCAAGTAACTTTGATAGAGAATGAAATCCTAGTAACTTTGCATACAGAATGAAATCCAAGTAACTTTGATGGAGAATGAAATCCAAGTAACTGTGCATAGAGAATGAAATCCAAGTAACTTTGCATAGAGAGTGATATCCAAGTAACTTTGCATACAGAATGAAATCCAAGTAACTTTGATGGAGAATGAAATCCAAGCAACATTGCATAGAGAACTAAATCCAATTACCTGTGCATGGAGAATTAAATCCAAGTAGCTTTGCATGGAGAATGAAATCGAAGTGACTGTGCATAGAGAATGAAATCCAAGTAACTTTGCATAGAGAATGAAATCCAAGTAACTTTGCATGGAGAATGAAATACTATTATCTTTGCATAGAGAATGAAATCCAAGTAACTTTGCATGGAGAATGAAATCCAAGTAACTTTGCATAGAGAATGAAATCCAAGTAACTTTGCATAGAGAATGAAATCCCAAGTAACAAGTGCATGGAGAATGAAATCCAAGTAACTGTGCATAGAGAATTAAATCCTAGTAACTTTGCATAGAGAATGAAATCCAAGTAACTTTGCATAGAGAATAAATCCAAGTACCTGTGCATAGAGAATGATATCCAAGTAACTTTGCATAGAGAATGAAATCCAAGTGTCTTTGCATAGAGAATGAAATAAAAGTAACTGTGCATACAGAATGAAATCCAAGTGACTTTGCATAGAGAATGAAATCCAAGTAACTTGCATAGAGAGTGAAATCAAAGTAACTTTGCATAGAGAATGAAATCCAAGTAATTTTGCATAGAGAATGAAATCCAAGTGTCTTTGCATGGGGAATGAAATCCAGGTACCTGTGCATAGAGAATAAAATCCAAGTAACTTTGCATAGAGAATTAAATCGAAGTTACTTTGCATAGATAATAAAATGCAAGTAACTTTGCATAGAGATTGAAATCCAAGTAATTTTGCATAGAGATTGAAATCCAAGTAACTTTGCATAGAGAATGAAATCGAAGTAACTTTGCATAGAGAATGAAATCCAAGTAACTTTGCATAGAGAATGAAATCCAAGCAACTTTGCATACAGAATGAAATCCAAGTAACTTTGATGGAGAATGAAATCCAAGCAAACTGAAATGCATACTTTGAGAATGAAATCCAAGTACCTTTGCATAGAGAATGAAATCCAAGTAACTGCATAGAGAATGCAAGTAACTTTAGAGAATGAAATCCAAGTAACTTTGCATAGAGAATGAAATCCAAGTAACTTTGCATAGAGAATGAAATCCAAGTAACTTTGCATAGAGAATGAAATCCAAGTAACTTTGCATGGAGAATGAAACATTCTGAAATTGTCAGTCATGCATATTAACCAGACATGTTTCTACTTTTTAAAAAAAAACTGCATCTCGTATATGTCATGGTAATATGAAGCTCCATATGAGCTACTAACTTCTCCATAACTTTGACCTTGTTACGGGTGAAGTTTGTCTTACCATGCTACCCGGTGTAGGCACGCTCTTACATTCAAATAATGGTGTTGTATTACTTGTTGCCTATTTTTGTTTTCGTTGCATAATATTTAAGTACAGGAATGATGACGCACTGAAGTTATCTCGTCGTCTTGTGACATTCCATATGTACGACATTCCATATGTACGATTATAAAGGGTACAGCCAAAAAATATTGTCTGCACACGATCCTCCAACAACTCGCGAGTTTATATGAAAGTTGAGTTTGTAAGTAAACGAGTGGATGCTATAAACATCAGCAATATTTTACACCAGAAGTCTGTCAAACCTAACATTCCATCATACTTTCAAAGCAGAAACGCCCTTGTTATTTTCTACCATGTGATATGACGCTCCAACTGACTTTGATAACATCTCTATAACTTTGACCTTGTCACGGGTGAAGTTTGTCTTACCATGCTACCCGGTGTCGGCACGCTCTTACATTCAAATAAGGGTGTTGTATAACTTTTTGCCTATTTTTTTTTCTTTCGTTGCATAATATTTAAGTACAGGACGCACGTTTTTCCTAAAGTCTTCTCGTCGTCTTGTGGCATTCCATATTCATGTATGTACGATTATAAAGGGTACAGCCAAAAAAGTTGTATTCTGCTTTAGTTTTATGGAATTTGAGTTAAGTTTATGATTATGATGCCATGTTTGAATGTACTTCCTCAAAAAGTGTTTGGTTAAATTTTCCCTTCATCAATTCAAGTGGCCTTAGATCTAATTATGTTTCCGTCTAATTTTAATTTTCTTATCTTTTCTAATTCTTGCTGTTTAGATTCTTAAAGACCTTATGAATCAACTCCTTCTTATAGATTGACTGTTCTGTTCTGTTCCATAACTTGACTTTGTTTTTATGACGTGTACAAGATGCCATTTACTCTAATTTCCATAAGTAAAGTCTCTCGGAACATTTATTATAAATTGTATGTCTGTAATATCATTGCTACGGTCTTGTCTGTTTAAGGTATATCATACTGTACCAGAAATAAAGTATTTTAAAGTTTAAAATAGAGAATTGTTTAATTTCTATAGATCTTTTCCTGTTTTGAGTTAATTAGATTTAAGACTAAGTATTGCCGTGGAATTGTCCGATCGATAGTGAGGTTCAATATTGGCCCTAATCATAACTGATGGTAAATTTTCCGACACATGAAAAAAAAACATTTAACTTGTTTTCTAGTACTGGGTTTTCTCCTTGAGCATCTACTGGTATCTGGGTGTTGCTCCGTATATATTTATATATCAAATCTAGCTCATGTAATATTTCTCTAACTCTGTCTATTGATTTGCTATTATTATATGTAGATTATAATCATAGTCTAATTTTGCATCTAGAACTAGGTTAAAGTCAACGTAACTTACTGTAAGTAACTGGGACAAAAAATGGACAAAGAAAGATTTACACGGAGATTCTTTAAAAAGTACAAGGAGAATAAGACCAAGTGTTCCGGAAAAGTAAGCGTCTTCTGCTTCACCGACGAAACCCACCAATTCCTGCACTTAGCAATAAGCTTTATTAATAAGTCCCAGCAATATCTTTAGCTAAAAAAAAAAGTTAAACTGAAACCCATGGACAAACCAAATCTGTAATGTATTATTCAAAATTTAAAAGTGAGAAAAAATGCATCTTCTGTATTTTATAGACAACGTGTTCGATAGGATAACCCATTTACATGCTTTGACATATGTCACTATAACAACATAAGTAATTACTTAGATTAGAGTTTTGGGGTAAAATTTTTTTTAAAAAATAGTTTTTTTCAAACATATAATGTAATTATTTTCAATATAATACTCGTTCTTGATAAATAATTGTAACCAGTACAACTGTCTAATTTTCATTTCAAGAACTTGTGGTTATATCTCTTTTCAGCTTATTTGATTTTATATTGTTAATTGAAAAGCGCACGATTTTGATCAACTTTTTAGAGTCTTGTGGACGTACACATGTCTTACTGGTATTTTTCTACTTTTTCAAAAAATTGTATCTTTCATGTAATCTGAGGCTCCATGTAACCTACTAACTTCTCTATCACTCCGACTTCGTGACGGGTGAAGGTTGTCTGAATATTTACATTCAAATTAGGGTGTAGCATAACATGTTTTCCCAGATTTATTTCGTCGAATTGTATATTCTCCAGTTTAAAATCCTGTGCACGGCGTCAAGTTTTCAGGTTCAACTTATTCATTTGTATCGTTTGTATTTTGTTTTGTTTACACAGTAACATGAGCTTAAATCAACTTTAACCTCGACAGGTGTAGTCTGTTTATCCCATGCCTCTTGCTGTAGGGACGCTTTTAGATTTTGAATCGGAGCATTGCATAACATGTTGTACTGACTGATAACGTACGTTTTTAGGTCATCTCGTCACCGTCTACATTCGTGTAAAGAAGATTATAAAGGGTACAGTCGAAACGAAATTTTGTTCATTTTGTTACCGTCTCGTAAACTGTACGGACACAATTCAAACTCGTAAAACTCATCTCATGAACGTAACATACAGTTATCGAAATGCCACCTATAATTTTCTTAATGGTTTTCATATAAAAACAACAACCGGAAGAAAGCCCTGCAGGTAAGACGAAAAAATCGTACCTGCTAGACCTATTGCAGGATTTGTAATATTTGAAATCGACTTTTGTTATTCTTTCTAAACAGTTTATCTTTTCTCGATTGTCTTTCTTGATACTACCTCACTTTTGATACTTACTTGCGCGTTCGACCCTATTGTTAATAATAGGAACGCTCACTGTTAGGCGACATGTTTTATTCGAGAGCGCACGTCATCGGAATCGGTGCACAAGTAACAATCAGATAGTACTTAACACGCGTTACGTAAGATGGACATAAGCTTCAGATGAACCAAATATACAACAACTATGAAGGTTTTTGAACCTTAACTTTGCCGAGACATCATATACATACCAACATATGAACAGAATCATAACCGCAATTCGAATTCAAAACTAGGACACAATATCCACAAAGGAAATATTTACACGGATACTCATGAAAAAGGACAGGGAAATAAGAAGCAGTAGAAACTCGCCCTTCCGGATCACCTGGTCAATACGTTAACATTACGGTATTATTTGTTCTTATTTTCTCAAACCTAGAGAAGAAAAGAAAATAATTCTTCGCCGTAAAGGATGCAGAAAATGCGTATCACCATGCAATATGCTACGTACCTTTGTCAGAATGTTGGGTGAATCTAATAATAGATTTATGATAGTAGCTGATGGCTCTTAACAGAACAGAGGCATTATATAACTTACCTGTGCATGCGAGCAAACGATATGATAATCACGTGGTCCGTGCTGATCGACGTAAAGTGGGACAACGCTTAAGTTTCTTTTCCAAGATGAAGGCCTTTTCAATACTCATGCAAAACCATCAGAAAATTTCAAGGTCTTTTCCATTATGGCGACAGGGCATCCTACATCGCAGGTTAGTTTTTCAACAATATATATGTGTATTACATTAATCTAATCAAATGCAACAATATTATGACATTCACGCCAGTTTAGATAACTTCAGTCAAATGGATTTTAAATTGTCGTCCATCGTACGTAAAATCAATGTTTGGTCAAATGTCACACATTTTGAAGAAAAGGAAAAAGAATAAACTTAATTTGCTAAGTCTTCGAAAATATTATTTGACACTTGTGCCACACTAATTCCAGAAGAAAATACAATAATGGGAATATTGGTTTCTCTTTACTAAATTATTATCACCATTGCCGAAACCACAGGGAGAACCAGGGTTATGGAAAACATAAGTCGAGATTGAAAACAAGTTTCACACAAAATAACAGTAACACATATCTACATATTTTACAATTTTCTTTGAACAAATACACACAAATATGTTATGTCATACCGTTGTATAGACAAACTGAGGTACATACACTCAAATCCAACTTAATATAAGTGTCATATCATACAAAAATACAAAATGAGATACACGCGCTCATATGAATAAACAGTTTCCATAGCAAAGAAAGTTATACAAATAAAATATTCATTAGAGCTCGAAAAGGCTAAAATAAATAATGATAGTAATGGTAACACATTACCACACTTTATGTTTGTAAACAGAGTGGTAATGCTCATTCAGCGTAGTTAGGTACATATATTACACCACCACAACGGTGTAGTGAGGGACTTTAAAACGGCCTCACTTTTACAGCATTCTGTTAACACACAGTATGTTACACTCCAGTGTTCTACGTGAAATTTTCTTGAGCGGTGTATGCTATGTCGACACACTGTGTGCAACACTTCACCATTAAAGTGGGGTACATAGTAGAAATATCATGTGACGTTGAGATTAGATTTGCTACGCAGAAACCGGTGTCGACAAAGTGAGGTAGCTGAAAAATGTACCTTGCTTTATTTTATACATACATACATACATATATTGGTTAACAAGAGATATAGCAAAAGAGAAAAATAACATCTTTCATAACTAAAGTCGAAGATTTATCACATGTATAGTGACATAATTACAGAGATCGAAATCGTTAACGCTTCCTTATGAATAATAAACCATAGCCTACATAACCAAACCATGAAATCATTTACTCTGGGCGTGATTTCATTTGTTTTGTCACGTGTATGTAAGACTATTTCCTCGTGAATCTCTACAAAATTCAATCTCTGGAAAAACTGCTATTTCTCAGTTTAAAAAAAAACACCGTTACTGTTATTCTCTTTGCTTCATTCTGAAAGAAGATAGTAGAAACTGAATTATACACATGAACTTATAGATAATTACAGATTGTCTTTTTAAATCAAATTGATGGCAGGATATTTGACAGCAATATACTAAGTGATTAGGTAATATAATAGCAACATTTGTACAAACTTCGGTATGCAGCAATTGAATTTTCAAATGAATATCTTATAAGAATTATAAGAAACATCACTGACTGAATAAAAGTGAAATTTATTTTTTTTTGTGATGACCTCAATTCAAACATTATTTTCCCATAATTAGTATGTAAAATAAGTTAGAGTCTGAATGATCGAGTAAATATGCACCAAACATATAATCACTTATCTGATTTTGATGATAACACCATAACTGAACTTGAATTATATCAGTACAATTACACTTGTGCACAATGTACACATCAGTATGAATAAACAGCCATTTACAACACAATCCCGTTGTCTCTTTAGAATACAATTTATATCATAATACTATGTATTGCCTCTCTCTATTTTGAGGAAATTTGAATGTACAGTTTATGAGTCAGTTGATCATGTAGTCTCAACCTGGTTATGTTGCACATGTTTATATTGGTGGGTTCTCCATGACCTAATCCCTGTTATACTCACGAATCGCCAAGTCGTTGCCATGAATATCATTCTGACGCGAGCTTTAATATAGCGGCCATCGTTCCCGTTGATGATGATAATCTATCTTTGTGACATATTACAATTCACATTTCTCCGCTCCAAGCCAGTTTGTCGGCAATGTCAGAAAGTTGATAAAACAGTAAACTATGTGACATTCTCAATCAAGTGATCAACTTCAAATGTAATATCACAACTAAATATTATCATAAGTCACATGGTATTGTCTCCTACCTTTACTGTCTAATTCTACAGAGAATGATATATAAATCTGAAACTTCACTTAGAAGAAACGTATTGACAACTTCGGTTCTCGTTACTTGTCGTAGGCGTCTCAAAGATTTTAGTATTTTTTATATTTACCATTCAGAGACAGCTATAGCAACTTTTGGGTATGTACACTAGGAATCAGTAAAACAACTTAAACAAAGCATCAACAGAAAAATATCAGACACATTCTGCATACCGATGCGAATCTAAAGAAATCTTGACAAGAGAGTGGATGAACAATCATCGATGACTGAAAGGAGCGTTAAGACATTGTGAGGGACCGTTTCGAACAAAATTGTGCAGATATTAAAGTTTAATCAACTAAAAGAGAAAAATGTAAGAGTTACAAGGATACCATTGCATTACATTGAATTAAATGGCTGCATTTGGAATGTATATCAAAAATTTATATCACGAAGATTAGATATTGCTAATCCATTGATAGAGCCAAATGATTAGTTGAATACGGTATTGTTGGGGCAAATGTTTAAAAGTTGTTTGTTTCTGGTATACTTTTATCCTTAAGAAATTCTTAGATGTCATTTTGGATATTATGAGCATTTTGAAATTAAAAACTTTTACTTCTACTAGTACCGGTACCGAGTTTCGGCAATATTTCAACACTTAGCAGCCGACTTAAAAAAGCGATAGTGGATGTATGACATGAGTCAAAAGGACACGTGTACTATGACCGTCAGGTCAAGGTGTCCTCTTTAACATCACTAAGTTCACGTGAACCTCTTTGGTGTTGATAACTATGTTTTATTGACACTTTGTCAAGCACTTTTATAACCTTGTATCATCTCCGACAAGAAACTTCTTTTATGCGATTTTCAGGTCACAACATGTTATCTTTATCTTTTTTAAGATATAAAATCCTGTTTTTCCTTTTTTCAAAATTGATACCCCAAATGTAAGAACTAAAATAAGGTTTTACAAAGAAAAAAAAGTGAAAAAGGCACACGATATTATATATACATTTTTTTTTATCTCAATTAGTGGGTCGATTGCATCAAAGCAAACATTACAACAACAGTTAAACAACTGTTGGACCATTATTCTGACTTTTTAAAAATTAATCAAAGAGCCGTTATTTTTATTTTTGATACAGTTTTTGTTTCTTATCTTTATCTTTTGAATAGAAAATCTTATCCCATTTTTGTTTGTAAAAAAATAATTTCTGTTTACATTTAAAATGGAAAACACGTGTATTGGGTTTGAACGCACTACCAAGTTTAAGTACTTCAAATGTGATGGCGCCCATCCTCAGTGTTCAGCCATGGATGCTAAAGCTTTTATCCAGAGAAGGTGTCTCTGTTACAGGCAAAGAGAACATGAAAAAAAAGCGCTATGTTAAATATTTAAAGAAAATACCTACAATGACAATAAAAAAAATGACAACGATGTATGCGATGCAAAATGTAATTATGAAGGCGAAAAAACTGGTACAACTCCGTCAAATAGTAAATGTCTTGGTGTAGATGACCTTTTCTATGCCCCAGCCTCACATCGTAATGTAGTATATGTTGCAAATACATGGAAAACACAATAAAGATACCAAAAAGAGCAAGGCACCAGTTATTGTTTAATTATCATATCTGGTATTCTAAAAAGCTAGGGTATGCTCTAAGCATTTCGTTGGAAAGGATTAGAATACTGATGTCACAGTGACTGTTTCCAATAAGGATAAATTAACATGCCATATGAATGACAAATCTACATACATCAGCAATGATGTTTTGGGAATCAGTTGTGATTTGTGAGACGACATTACCTCTCTTTTATTTGAGCTCAAATGTATGGACAATGGCGATATGATAGCATGGACAGAATGGAGCAGCGATCAGTTCGAGAAGATCCATGCTGCTATTGTCAATTGTCCAGATATATTCCATATACAAGGAATATCAACTCAGAATGCATTGTTTATGTTTTGGATAGAATTAAAAACAGATATTTCTTTTACCCAGATAGTTTCTTTGTTTAAAATTCACAAATGAACTGTAAGCAGAATATTCCAAATCATGTGTAAGGTTCAGAAGTCAACATTTGTACCATCCCATCTGTGACCCTATCATTTGTCAAGGGAACAAGCTCGAAGCCACAACACAAACATTTTTTAGTAATAACGAGCCCATCATCCTTGATGGAGATAGCAGACAAGATATTAAAGTCTTTTTAAGGATGATAATTAAATAACAGTCGTCACATACAGCCGCTGTTTTATCTTATCTTGGTAAATATTTTTTAGAAAAATCAAGACGACATAAGTTCATGAATTTAATGTGTTAGATTCCACAATCACCAGAATTTCAAACGCAAATCATCAATGCCGAAAGGTGTATTGTACGTCATAATCACTAATGCACTTTACCTCTGGGTTTCGAGTTCGAGACCTAGTTGCCTAGTGGTTTTTTCTCACGTTGTAGCATTGGCATTGAAATTACAAAAATGTTCATAATCTGGTGATACATTTGCACCAGCAACCTTAATGATTGAACTTGGTCTCTCCAATGTCCAGTTATATCCCTTGCCCATGTAATGGAAGCATAAACGAAGTAATGTGAAAATTGAATAATATTTAATTTTTGACCAATAAGAAGTCAGCATTTGGCAGTCATTTTGCTAACAATTTCAATTTTTGTGTGTCAAAATGATCGCTGCCCTTCCAGTTTCGTCCTCCTAGGAAGACGCTAAGTGATGTTACATCATGCAACTGTTTCGTCGTTCTAGAATGATGCTAAGTGATGTTACGTCATACAACTGTTTCGTCGTTCTAGAATGATGCTAAGTGATGTTACGTCATACAGCTATTTCGTCGTTCTATAAGGATACTAAGTGATGTTACATCATACAACTGTTTCGTCGTTCTAGAATGATGCTAAGTGATGTTACATCATACAACTGTTTCATCGTTCTAGAATGATACTTAGTGATATTACATCATACAGCTATTTCGTCGTGCTAAGATAATGCTAAGTGATGTTACAGCATACAGCTGTATAGTGATGTTAAAGTATTTAATGATGAAGGCAACCGAGGGAAAATCATCGAAAGAAAATTCAAAATTAAGATTAAGTAGGTTGTACCTAAACTTTCATGAACCTCACTGAAGATACCTCGGTGTTAACTTAATTATCACCATAGATATTCCCTGACCATTTTCTACTTTGTCTTATTGATAATATATATGTAATATACGACTTATGCTTTTCCAGACATGGAAACTACAACATGAAGCGATATTCGACAATGGTGGACAGTTATGACGACAAATTCGGAAGTGGCATGTATGCAGCCAACGGTTACTCACTGTATCTCAGCCAGTCCACCATTCTTAGATGCATTGGTAAAGAACATTATTTGTTAATACACCCAAGCAAACCAGAAGCAGCCTGTGCTGAAATATATGATATATTTTTATTGTTGTTATTGATAAAAGATCACTCAAATTCCAGCTTTCGTTTAGAAAGTGAAAGCTAGATCGTTGGAAATCGATTTTAACGTACGCGCGTTCCTCGATAATTTATATAAAAAAAAATCCACATCGGCTTAACACAGAAAAATACAAGAAGAAAGTGACACAGCACTAATTCATCCCAAGTTTTTTAACCCCTTATGGATACTTATTTGGTGAGAAAGGAAAGTTCCATTTGATTAGGTGACTACGACATGTACTAAAATACAAATATTTCACATATCGTTTGCGTAATTTTTTCAGAAGAGATATGTAAACGACAAAGCGTACACATGCCGATCACGATAGCAGATTTCGGGACAGCGGATGGACGGACATCTCTCAACTTATTAAACAATGCCATTAGTAAGTTGATAAAGCACCATAATAAAACAATGTATCAGCCGTATTCTTAAATCACATCAAATATTGTATACAGGGTAAGAGTGAACTGTTTTATTGTCGATATTTTATTTTTTTATCATGTTATATTTTTTTTTGCGGTGTGATTTTACGCTTTTAAACCTCTTATGTTTTTCAGAGTTTTGTAAGCTTTTCACCCTGTTATTTATTTTTTTCAGTGTTTTGTAAGCTATTTACTATTTATTTTTTCAGTGTATTATAAGCGTTTTACGCTGTAATTTATTTTTCCAGTGTTTTGTAATCTTTTTACCATTTTTTGGGTTATTGAAATGCCACCGATGCGTTAGATATTTGTACATACATCATAATTGATGCCAACAAAGAAAATAATTACGTCACTGAGACAATCGTAAAAAATCAACTAACATGAACGAAATGATATCTTTATATATCTCCCTACAACAGCCACAATACAGGAGATGTCCGGGGCGGCCAAACCCGTCATGATATACCACGAAGATCAAGCAACCAACGACTTCAACTTGCTATATCGGGTTATTGAAGGTAACCGATTTTCATTATCACTTTCGATACATGTTCGGGAGGAGACGTTGTTGGACAAGAATTTCAATAAAATGTTTTTTCCGTTATACATCTTTCACACTTATGAATCTTTCATAACTTGACAATGTCTTTATCTTATATCATAAAACACGGGAAGAAACGAAGATGTTTTACGGCCAAAGTTTAAGCTTCTTTTTTAATCTAATTTCATAGTTCAGTTTAATCACATTGTAGTATACACAATATAGATTCGAACAATAAAACAAACATATCTTCAGGCACATTCTACATACTGATGTCAATCTAAAGAAATCTTGACAAGAGAGTGGATGAACAATCATCGATGACTGATAGGAGCATTTAGACATTGTGAGGGACCGTTTCGAACAAAATTGTGCAGATCTAAATGTTTAATCATCAACTAAAAGAGAAAAATGTAAGAGTTACAAGGATACCATTGCATTACATTGAATTAAATGGCTGTCTATTTGGAATATATATCAAACATTCATCATATCACGAAGATTAGATATTGATAATCCATTGATATGGGTAGTTTCTTTCAAATGATTAGTTGAATACGGTATTGTTGGGGCAAATGTTTAAAAGTTGTTTGTTTCTGGTATACTTTTATCCTTAAGAAATTCTTAGATGTCATTTTGGATATTATGAGCATTTTGAAATTAAAAACTTTTGCTTCTACTAGTACCGGTACAGAATTACGGCAATATTTCAACACTTAGCAGCCGACACGGTCTTATGTTGTGATGATTAATACAATAGATAAAAAAGCGATTGTGGATGTATGACAGGAGTCAAAAGGACACGTGTACTATGACCGTCAGGTCAAGGTATCCTCTTTAACATCACTAAGTTCACGTGAACCTCTTTGGTGTTGATAACTATGTTTTATTGACACTTTGTCAAGCACTTTTATAACCTTGTATCATCTCCGACAAGAACGTCTTGACTTCTTTTATGCGATTTTCAGGTCACGACATGTTATCTTTATCTTTTTTAAGATATAAAATCCTGTTTTTCCTTTTTTCAAAATTGATACCCCAAATGTAAGAACTAAATAAGGTTTTACAAAGAAAAAAAGTAGAGAATTCAAACATTCATTGTATGGATGTACACCTCCTCTTATTAGTCAATCAATTCTTACACGTTGTATCAATTAAGGTTCAGCATACCATCAACTGAGTGTTTGAATTAGTCTGAATAAAATACCGTGAAAAGGAGGTGTTACATAAAGGGTGAAAAAGGCACACGATATTATATATACATTTTTTTATCTCAGTTAGTGGGTCGATTGCATCAAACATTACAACAACAGTTAAACAACTGTTGGACCATTATTCTGACTTTTTAAAAATTAATTTAAAATTAATAATATAGTTTTTGTTTATCATCTTTATCTTTTGAATAGAAAATCATATCCCATTTTTGTTTGTAAAAAAATAATTTCTGTTTACATTTAAAATGGAAAACACGTGTATTGGGTTTGAACGCACTACCAAGTTTAAGTACTTCAAATTAGGTGATGGCGCCCATCCTCTTAGTGTTCAGCCATGGATGCTAAAGCTTTTATCCAGAGAAGGTGTCTCTGTTACAGGCAAAGAGAACATGAAAATATGTCCAAAGCGCTATGTTAAATATTTAAAGAAAATACCTAGGCCGGACGACAATGACAATAAAAAAAATGACAACGATGTATGCGATGCAAAATGTAATTATGAAGGCGAAAAAACTGGTACAACTCCGTCAAATAGTAAATGTCTTGGTGTAGATGACCTTTTCTATGCCCCAGCCTCACATCGTAATGTAGTATATGTTGCAAATACATGGAAAACACAATAAAGATACCAAAAAGAGCAAGGCACCAGTTATTGTTTAATCATCATATCTGGTATTCTAAAAAGCTAGGGTATGCTCTAAGCATTTCGTTGGAAAGGATTAGAATACTGATGTCACAGTGACTGTTTCCAATAAGGATAAATTAACATGCCATATGAATGACAAATCTACATACATCAGCAATGATGTTTTGGGAATCAGTTGTGATTTGTGAGACGACATTACCTCTCTTTTATTTGAGCTCAAATGTATGGACAATGGCGATATGATAGCATGGACAGAATGGAGCAGCGATCAGTTCGAGAAGATCCATGCTGCTATTGTCAATTGTCCAGATATATTCCATATACAAGGAATATCAACTCAGAATGCATTGTTTATGTTTTGGATAGAATTAAAAACAGATATTTCTTTTACCCAGATAGTTTCTTTGTTTAAAATTCACAAATGAACTGTAAGCAGAATATTCCAAATCATGTGTAAGGTTCAGAAGTCAACATTTGTACCATCCCATCTGTGACCCTATCATTTGTCAAGGGAACAAGCTCGAAGCCACAACACAAACATTTTTTAGTAATAACGAGCCCATCATCCTTGATGGAGATAGCAGACAAGATATTAAAGTCTTTTTAAGGATGATAATTAAATAACAGTCGTCACATACAGCCGCTGTTTTATCTTATCTTGGTAAATATTTTTTAGAAAAATCAAGACGACATAAGTTCATGAATTTAATGTGTTAGATTCCACAATCACCAGAATTTCAAACGCAAATCATCAATGCCGAAAGGTGTATTGTACGTCATAATCACTAATGCACTTTACCTCTGGGTTTCGAGTTCGAGACCTAGTTGCCTAGTGGTTTTTTCTCACGTTGTAGCATTGGCATTGAAATTACAAAAATGTTCATAATCTGGTGATACATTTGCACCAGCAACCTTAATGATTGAACTTGGTCTCTCCAATGTCCAGTTATATCCCTTGCCCATGTAATGGAAGCATAAACGAAGTAATGTGAAAATTGAATAATATTTAATTTTTGACCAATAAGAAGTCAGCATTTGGCAGTCATTTTGCTAACAATTTCAATTTTTGTGTGTCAAAATGATCGCTGCCCTTCCAGTTTCGTCCTCCTAGGAAGACGCTAAGTGATGTTACATCATGCAACTGTTTCGTCGTTCTAGAATGATGCTAAGTGATGTTACGTCATACAACTGTTTCGTCGTTCTAGAATGATGCTAAGTGATGTTACGTCATACAGCTATTTCGTCGTTCTATAAGGATACTAAGTGATGTTACATCATACAACTGTTTCGTCGTTCTAGAATGATGCTAAGTGATGTTACATCATACAACTGTTTCATCGTTCTAGAATGATACTTAGTGATATTACATCATACAGCTATTTCGTCGTGCTAAGATAATGCTAAGTGATGTTACAGCATACAGCTGTATAGTGATGTTAAAGTATTTAATGATGAAGGCAACCGAGGGAAAATCATCGAAAGAAAATTCAAAATTAAGATTAAGTAGGTTGTACCTAAACTTTCATGAACCTCACTGAAGATACCTCGGTGTTAACTTAATTATCACCATAGATATTCCCTGACCATTTTCTACTTTGTCTTATTGATAATATATATGTAATATACGACTTATGCTTTTCCAGACATGGAAACTACAACATGAAGCGATATTCGACAATGGTGGACAGTTATGACGACAAATTCGGAAGTGGCATGTATGCAGCCAACGGTTACTCACTGTATCTCAGCCAGTCCACCATTCTTAGATGCATTGGTAAAGAACATTATTTGTTAATACACCCAAGCAAACCAGAAGCAGCCTGTGCTGAAATATATGATATATTTTTATTGTTGTTATTGATAAAAGATCACTCAAATTCCAGCTTTCGTTTAGAAAGTGAAAGCTAGATCGTTGGAAATCGATTTTAACGTACGCGCGTTCCTCGATAATTTATATAAAAAAAAATCCACATCGGCTTAACACAGAAAAATACAAGAAGAAAGTGACACAGCACTAATTCATCCCAAGTTTTTTAACCCCTTATGGATACTTATTTGGTGAGAAAGGAAAGTTCCATTTGATTAGGTGACTACGACATGTACTAAAATACAAATATTTCACATATCGTTTGCGTAATTTTTTCAGAAGAGATATGTAAACGACAAAGCGTACACATGCCGATCACGATAGCAGATTTCGGGACAGCGGATGGACGGACATCTCTCAACTTATTAAACAATGCCATTAGTAAGTTGATAAAGCACCATAATAAAACAATGTATCAGCCGTATTCTTAAATCACATCAAATATTGTATACAGGGTAAGAGTGAACTGTTTTATTGTCGATATTTTATTTTTTTATCATGTTATATTTTTTTTTGCGGTGTGATTTTACGCTTTTAAACCTCTTATGTTTTTCAGAGTTTTGTAAGCTTTTCACCCTGTTATTTATTTTTTTCAGTGTTTTGTAAGCTATTTACTATTTATTTTTTCAGTGTATTATAAGCGTTTTACGCTGTAATTTATTTTTCCAGTGTTTTGTAATCTTTTTACCATTTTTTGGGTTATTGAAATGCCACCGATGCGTTAGATATTTGTACATACATCATAATTGATGCCAACAAAGAAAATAATTACGTCACTGAGACAATCGTAAAAAATCAACTAACATGAACGAAATGATATCTTTATATATCTCCCTACAACAGCCACAATACAGGAGATGTCCGGGGCGGCCAAACCCGTCATGATATACCACGAAGATCAAGCAACCAACGACTTCAACTTGCTATATCGGGTTATTGAAGGTAACCGATTTTCATTATCACTTTCGATACATGTTCGGGAGGAGACGTTGTTGGACAAGAATTTCAATAAAATGTTTTTTCCGTTATACATCTTTCACACTTATGAATCTTTCATAACTTGACAATGTCTTTATCTTATATCATAAAACACGGGAAGAAACGAAGATGTTTTACGGCCAAAGTTTAAGCTTCTTTTTTTAATCTAATTTCATAGTTCAGTTTAATCACATTGTAGTATACACAATATAGATTCGAACAATAAAACAAACATATCTTCAGGCACAGAAGATGAAGGACAAGATAGACTCAAGCTATCCTCCAGTGTTTTCCAGGCTGCAATTGGTCGTTCAATGTACGAAGAATGTCTTCCAAACAATTCAGTAGATCTGGCATTTTCCTCCATTGTAGTGCATAACTTGTCACGAAGGTCAGTATAATTCAAATTTACAACTATCTGCTGTGTATTCAGAATTATATATGTGATGTACGCATTTTGGACATAACAAAAACGTTAACATAAGAGATGTTTATTATCTAGAAAACTTTTTATACGTTTTTCTTTTTTTAGTCAATCTGTTATATCAACTGAACTGCCGTATAGTAAACGTATTTCTAGAATATCACTATGTAGATTTCTTGTATCCTCTCACTTAAAACCACGTATTCGTTAGCTATCGACATATGTGATATGTAGACAACTTAACCTGGGCAAGCAGGTTTGTTACTACCGAGAAATGATAAAAATACATGAGGGGAAAAATTGTCCATTGTTGCTTATGTTGAGATTAAGGTAAACGACAGATAAAAAAAGAGTTTAGAAATATCAATGAACATGTATTATATATGAACATAGAAGGCGTTTCAAATGCTTTCCTACAGGTACCTGTTATAGTTATCTGCTCGATACATTAATCATCACAAGAAAAAAAACAAGCTGTTGGAAGTTCTTGTCGCTATACTGTCAACCAATCAACCATCCACATGATTTCCTACTAAAGTACGAACCTTCAAATTATTTTGCATGTCCAGACCGTGCCGAATAGAGGGAGGAACATTGTCTTGTGATGGTAATGAGAAGGAGAAGGCGTTGATAAAAGAGCAATCTGCAAAGGACTGGGAAAGATTTGTCTACCTACGAGGAAAGGAGCTAAGTCCAGGTATCGACAATAAGGATTTGATAAAACTAACACAGAAATATCAAATGAGGACATATTTGTCAGTAATTCATTCTGTTTCTTGAGATACAAAAATAGAATTGTTGTTAAAAAGTTCTTAAGTAAGGGAGAAGTTTGCTCGAAACCTGAGACATACAACATAATAAGACTAGTTAGAAGGGAAGTAATGTTTTCTGTTTCCCGACCTTCCCTACCTTTTTGCTACCGATCATTTTGTTTTCAACATTTTACAATCTCCGGGTTGATTTTGCTAATGTTTGTTGGCGATCCCCGGCAGTAGTAGCGCCATGAGGCAAATTAACCTTGAGACACTTGAAACATACATATTTATACAAACCGATGTGAAACATTCTCTTGACACCTACGGAGGAAAATAGCGTTTGCCATGCCGTCATTGGTTTGTTCCTGTAACGTACGCACTTACCTAAAAATATCATGAACTTAGATGAGATCGGGTGTTCCAGACAAGTGATATTTACCAATCTTCTATCTGTTTATTTTTGCATCCCCTCCCGTAAACAAGTTGAAACTCAGCATTTGACAGAAATGTTTTAAAATCCCTCCCTTCCTACCGACCGACCGACACTAATTTATTTTCAGAAACAGGAAACGCAGATTTTCCCCTTATAACACGTGGTACTGTTTGAAAGCAGCCTCGTTTTTTTATGATGCGGAAAGCCTATATCCATGTCATATGAAGAGAGTGGTTGTCAATTTTAATATTGTTGAAGAGTCTCATATCTTAACTGTTACATTATTACACAGGCGGTTATCTGGTGGTACTGAACTGTGGTGTTGATAAGACAGGTAAAAATTTACATCCAATATCGGGTGGAATGCCTCGACTAGGGAAGCTGCTCAATACCATGCTTCAGGATGGATTGATAACACAGGTGAGAAGGATGTCATACTGATAACTCTCATCATAACACAGGTAAGTAGGTACAAGTATATCATTATAAATATGACAATGTAACACAGGTGTGAAGGATGTCATACTGATATCTAGGACATCATAAGACATGTCAGTAGGTATGTCATATAAGTAAGAAAATGTAAAACGGTTGAGAAGTATTCTTGCTCACATATACAATTTGAGTATTCAGTTGTGCTTTCACAGGATCAATTCTGATACGTAATGCAGGAGCATACCAGGAACATCAACGTCTCAGTATTTTTTTGTGTAGTGTTTGATTATGAGTTATAAAGATGTTTGTGTCCAGTACGTAACTTGAGAGCTGACGCTAGAGTCTGATTCCTAGTGTTGTAATTTGAGAGCTGACAATAGAGTCTGATTCCTAGTGTTAGATCATGTGCTATATATAGTCCTTTGTTTTTTGTTCAGTGTGTGACTTAAGAGCTGACGTTAGAGTCTTATTCCTTGTGTTATATCATGAGGTAAATATTAAAGTTTCTTGTTTAGTCTTAATGTTAGATGCTGATCTGAACAAGAGGCCCACTGAGCCTGCCCCGCTCACGAAGAATTTAATGATAATAAAAAATAGAATCGAAAGGCGATATATTCAATGAATTTTAACCAATTTCCACAACAAGCAGCTTCGAGGAAGGTTATCTAAAATTGACCCCAGTGATTTGAATATGGATCAAATTCATGCCTTTGTTTGGCTTCATCCTATCAACCTACAGACCAAATACCATGCTTCTAGGGACTTTGGTAGATGAGACGCAGTCATTTAAATTCATAAAATTTGGCCCCTGTGACTTTAAAAGTGTGCCCATCGGGTCAGGTGAGCTAAACCTTTTTCATGTCCAGTTGTTCAGGATTTGAGAGCTGACACTAATGTTAGCTGATGAGGTGAGCTGCTACACTGGTGTCCAATTCCTAATGTTGGATGAATAGGTAAACCAGAGGTCCTGGGGTTTTAAGTCATAAACGCACAACTTTTCATTTCTTTAGAAGCAAGATATTGAGGTATGGGATGGTGATCCAAATGAATTATCGATGGTGCAAAGCAATGATATAAAAATGAACTAAATCTCCTTGGGGTTAGATTTTCTCCTTTTTTCTGGCACAAGGGGACCAAAAAATTGTTCTTTATACAAAATGATTCTCTTCATCCAAACATATTTCAGACCAATTTTGGACAATATCCTGAAAATCGAGAAATTGACAGATTTTCCCTGTAGGACCATATCCCTCTAACCCCAGAGGACCGAAACCCACCAGTTATAAAAAACTGATTTCCCTTTACTAAAGCAAGCTTCAGACCGACCATTTTTTTTTTGTAATATCCTGCAATTCTTGAAGAACAAGATTGATTTTAAATAAATTGATCGATTTTCCCTATCCCCTTTAGTCTTCGGGGGCTGAATTCTTCTGTTTATGCGAAACTGATTTTTCTTCACCCAATGATGTTTCAGACCAAAATTGATTTAAATTATATCAGTTCTTCATGAATAGCTGGTGTCCGATGCCTAATGTTAGATTACGAATTGCATGTTTATGTTTCATGTTCAGTGGTGTTGGACTGAGAGTTGACACTAGTGTCCAATTCCGTTACAGGAAGAATTCCTTGATGCTAACTTTGATGTGGATATATACAGGACAGAGGAAGACCACAGCCGTCCATTTACACATGGTGGCATGGCGAAGCAATTAGGTTTAGAGCTGGTATCCGTTCGTTCATTCATCAATACATTGCAACATCCTACATTCGATATTGTAGATAAAGGTACTCTCATTTCAGTAATAATTACCATAACTTTAATATGCAAATACAGCACCTACACCCATCTTTGTATCCCAACAACAAAAGATTAAAAAAAACTTCCTCTTACCTTTATGGCTGCCGACGAGTGCGGAGGTGTCTGAGCTAAGTGCTTTTCTTACTCCTTCTCTTCGCACTGCCATTGTCGTTTGAGTATATCGTTACTAAATTAGTAGTATATAAACCCATCTCCCAACTTATACTAAAAGGATAAAGAAAACACCTAAGTACATCATGAAAATTTGTTTTACAATAAAAAAACATCTAATTAATAACATTAACTTTATATGAGGGAAAGTTGAAAAGTAAACTATTGTGATGTATTTTATCATATATACATGATCAAATCAAGTTAGAATTAGCATTTTCATTTTCACCCAGGATATCGTAGTATTAAATGGGAGGGATAACAGACCAGACGTTCATAAGGACCGTAAATTAGATTCCCCTAATATCAACATGTGTTATTAGTGCTAAGACTAGTAGCAAGACTTTTGGATTTATATGTCGATGTTTGGGATAGAATATCTATACATTCTTACCTTAATTCATATTCCCTACAGGTTCAAATCCAGTTGTCTTCAGAACACAATCATTAAAAGAAGTAGACAAAAATCATAAACATATCAATATAAAATCACCTGTCTTTTGTTATAGATGCAGCTGCAAAAGCAGAGTATGCCGAGAGAGTGGTGGCAGGTATAAAGCCGTGGTTCTATCACGTGATCTACAACGGGCTGTCTGAAAAGAGACCACATGAAGAGAGAAAACAGTTGACTGATCTCTACTTCGACAGAATGAGGGCATTTGCATATGACAACCATGCTGGCGGGACAGAAATACCATTGGTGGAAACAGTGGTCAGGAAAAGGCTTTAACATATAAATCAGGGAACTTGGTATACGATGCCTATACCAATATTATTACTAAAATCATCATAACTCAATAGTTAGTTACATATTCTGATTATCTAACTAAAACAAGTATCAACATAATAAGCAAGAAAGCCAACTGCACCCTAGGCTTACTGATGAGGCACTTGAAGATCTCAAGACTATAGCACATACCACCCTACTGAGGCCAAACCTAGAGTAATATGATTCAGTAAGATATTTTCATGGGTTGAAGTGGAAGTTGTAGCAGAGCCAAAGATTAAAGATACAGCTAACATTCCTGATCAAGTAAACAATCTGAAGGACATTTGAGCAAATAACTTCTTCACTCAACATTCCTCCTCCAGCAGTACTTTCTCAATGCATAGGCCCATGTTTAGATATAGTTTCTTTCCTTCATTCATTCCTATTTGGAATTTCCTCCCAACATCTCTTGCTGCGGCCCCTAGCTTGGTATGTTTTTACCCCTTAGCTTCCAGGAATTTTTAATGAAACTGAAGAAAAATTTTGCCTTTTTTCCCCCAATAATGATGTACCATAACAAACAGAAGTTTGACTTTTCGATCAATTAATGAATGAATGAATGAATAATTGATAATGGAAATGAAGACAAAAATATTTCCAAACTTAATAGCATTTTGAACTTCTGGAGTAGGAACCTACGGATATTTGTATGAGACAAATTTACTCATTCATGGTTGTTGTCATGGTTACAAGCTCGTTTTTCAAATATAACATGTTAAAATTAGCATTTTTTTCTGTCTGCCAAAATTTCATTACATAAGAAAAGGTTTGCATAACAAAATTAGCAGTTTAGTCAACCACCAGAATATACAATAGGAATCTGAAAAAGCTTCTTTGTTAAAATTTCATGGCTAATTAATTTCTTCTTGCATTTTAAAGTTGTCATAGCATCTAATTTTTTAAAGCGTTAATTTCTGCTTAGAACAATTTATCTCATGAATCATTGAATGAAAAGTTATTTCAAACACATTTTGTAAATTCCTGATCTATTGAAAAAGTGTTCTAAATGTAATCACACACATTATTGGATATATATTTTCAGATGTCAGGGTAGATAACACAGTCTGAAAAAATAATTTTCAGAATTTTGGAATTAGTTGTTTTCTTCTAGTTTTTAATTGTTTCTCTTGTAATGATGATTGCTGCACTTGTATTTTTCAAATAATGATAAAGACAGTGATCATATTGTTCATCAGATAGACATAAACTACGTGTAGTAGAAATATGAAATCAATTTTTCAATATGTTTATTATTTATGACCAATAAGTTCAAACATGGTTGGTTATTTGAATTTCTAGATATTTCCACTTGTAGGAAATCATCTTTTTGTGTAAATACAAAATAAGGTATATAGGATGATGGAAGACATTGGAAAAAAGATAAACATATTACTTAAAATTAGACACAACAATACTCAAAATGTGCTTATTGTAGTAAGTATCAAAATGGAAACATATATCTGTACATTTCTATCAAAACATTTTGTCTATCCAAAACTAGTTACTTGTACCAAACTGAAGCATTTTAATTGTAGCACTTACAAGTTACAAGCAACAATACATAATTTAGATGAAATCATTTTAATTTTGCATAATCATCCATACAAATAAATGGTGAGGGGAAAGATAAGTGAAAACTGATGGCACTATCACACAGTCCTGTGTTTATACCTGAAATTAGCAATTAGAAAAAAGAAGTTAATTAAAGCATCTTTTGTGTATACTTATGAGCATTTCAATGAAAACTTCCTCATTAAATAGTTAAAGGTTTGAATAAAATAGCAATGCAATGTTCATGTCACCAGCTGTATCATATCAGTAATACATGTGTACCAACAAATCTACTGACAGAATCTGTTTAGGATTATTGATAAAATCTTCAAAGGTGTTAATAGTCAGTTCCTCAATGGACAGCAATTCAGACAATTCAAATTTTACATGTATACATTATACAAAACAAAAGTTTGCAGAGGTTCAAGCAAGTAAGGGTTGAGAATATCACTATTGTAATGCTACATTAATTAAACTACTTTCCTAATTATAGAGGTTTCCAGATTATAGGGGTTGGTGGATCATGACATTCAAAATGAAATGTTTAAGGCCCACAGCTTCAAACTTCAAATAGTGTAAAACATACAATATAACATTACTTTTCAATTAACATGTTACTTCAAATATATGTTTTCTGGTTGGCGCCAAGGTAGCTGCATTTGTGAGGTGCCATTTTTACATTACTTCTTAAATCTATTCTGTCTGTTCTTTACTTTTCAAACTCTTTCTTGCTTAGTCCAGTCCCAATGCGCAACGCATTGTAGCTATCAAGTTTGACATCTTAAGGACGTAGAACTGAATCATATCTAAAAATTACCAAGATTTAAAAGCACATACACATTTTACTAGACAACTTCCCACAATTATGGAATCCAACCAAATGTACATGGAGAGAATGAAATCCAAGCAACAGTGAACGGAGAATAAAATCCAAGCAGCTGTGCATGGAGAATAAAATCCATGCAAATGTGCATAAAATCCAAGTAACTTTGTGTGTACAATATGTCATTTACTCGTAAGCAAAGCCTCTTGGAACACCTATTATGAACTGTATATCTGTAATATCATTTTAAGGTATATCATAATGTACCAGAAATAAAATATATTTTAAGTTGAAAATAGAGAATTGTTTAATTTCTTTAGATCTTTTCCTCTTTTGAATTAATTAAATATAAGACTCATTATTGCCGTGGAATGGTCTGATTGATAGCTAGATTCAGTATTGGCCCTAATCATAACCGATGGTAAGTTTTCTGACACATGAAAAATGTTTTGTCTAACTTGTTTCCTAGTACTGGGTTTTCTCCTTGAGCATCTACTGGTATCTGGGTGTTGCTCCGTATATATTTATATATCAAATCTAGCTCATGTAATATTTCTCTAAATCTGTCTATTGATTTGCTATTATTATATGTAGATTATAATCATAGTCTAATTTTGCATCTAGAACTAGATCAAAGTCAACGCAACTTACTGTAAGTAACTAGGACAAAAAATGGATAAAAGAAAGATTTACACGGAAATTTCTGAAGAAGTACAAGGAGAATAAGACCAAGTGTTCCGGAATAGTAAGCGTCTTCTGCTGCGCCGACGAAAGTCCTCTCATAGCAACATGTTGTAATACAATGCAATATACATGTTATTTTTTTTCATTTGTACTGACTGATAAGGCACGTTTTTACTTAAGGGTCATCATCTTCTACATTCGTGTAACGACGATTATAAAGGGTACAGTCGAAACGAAATTTTGTTGCATTTT